TGTGTTTGTATACATTGAAATGCACTGAAATACTTTCGAATAAATGTCTCAATAGTTTTATACACATTATCTGATTTTGACAGTAGACAACAAAAGAAATACAGTAGAAGTGTCCTCGGATAAATGTTTCAGGAAACAGAATATCATACGATATTATTATTATTATTATTATCTCTGCTATAAGCATCACTTCTGAAAATAAATTTATCCATTTAAAAGCGTAAATATTCTTTTTTTTTGACGAAAACAAACGGTTACCGGGTCATCATTCTGCTAATATATATATATATATATATATATATATATATATATATATATATATATATATATATATATATATATATATACTTAGACACAATGTACACAAGCGTGAAACAGTTGTTTCCTTAAAATCTGATGACATTATATGTATAAATTCTTAATGTTTCTTTGATGTTGATGAAAAAAGGTAACACCGAGAAGAAAACTTTTAAGACGAAAGGAGAAAAACCTCAAAAAAACGTTTCATTCGTATTTGATACTCTCTTACACATATCTGCATACTGGTTGGTTACGTGTGCTTTTGTATTTATGTGTGTATGTGTGTTCCTTCTTCCTTATATCCCCCCCTATCACTGTCACTATGCTACCTAATTATTTCTTCATGATTTGGATTTTCCTATTGAAAGATGATTGGAAGGGAAATGAAAAGTCCGAGCCATGGGAGTTCGAACCAAAGACCTTTGGCCTACCAGTCTGATGCTTTGCCAAATTAACTACAAGAATTAATTCAGAAACTAATGTTGTTTCTATTTCAACAGGTCAGGCCTAGTTTGTCATCGATTCTCTGGAAATTCTATTAGTAACAATCAAAGTGATAATAATAATAATCCATTTGTACACTGTTGTTTTCATACATCCAAGATAACGAACAGTTTGATTTTTCATGCACATATTTCCTACTACTAACTTTAAAAGAGTGAGAACAAACATTAGAGCAGTAGAGTATGGATCCATTTCATTGTTTCGGTTATCTTCATCAGTTGCTTACAATCTGGAATATTGACAACAACAAGTCGTAAGTGGATAGATAGAAAAAGTGGTAATCAGAAAACGGAATACATGAAAACGTAATGCTGTAAGTTGCTTTCTGGTGACCGACCAATGTGCCTCACCTAATTCTGTAAGAGGTAAATCATAATCCGAATAGCTCAATAGTAACGTTGCTAACTGGAACACTAGGTCACAGTGATTCCAATCTCAGAAGGAATATAACTTCCTGAAGGTTCCAGATACACCTTGCTGACAAGCGGTTACAAACACAAAACTCTAGGTTAAACAGAACTTCCTGTTAGTTGCCTTCAACCAACTAAAAAGTAATGAATACAATTCAGCGGATGAAAGTTGGGGTATAATGTGTACTGAAGATCTAACAAGAGGATAATGATACAAACAAACAAGCAGAGGGTTGAGAAGTTAAGTTCCCAGAGTAGACTGATGAGTGATTCATTATGCTTCAGGTGTTTGATTACAATAGCTTCGGTAGAGCTAAGAAGATTAGGTTTCTTCTGTCTGCTGATTATTTTGAAAAGTACTAAAGACTCCGCTTAATTAACTGTGTTCAATAAGACCTTAGCAACTAAACTATTGAAGATATATGCTACTTTGAATTGCAGGCTTTACATGAAACGTTCAAGATATCAGTGATTATCTGTTACTTTTGTTCTCTCAATTTTCCTGCTCTGACAGAGTTGATATACACAATCGGAGTTGACATATGTGAGGTACCAATCGATTTTTCATTGTATCAGTAAGTAAAATGTTTTAAATAGGGGGGGGGAGTAGCTTTACTGCGTGATGTTTTGTAGTCAGTGAGGCGTTGGTGGAGCGTTTTAGGTATCTATTTTCTTTAAGATACTTCTCAAGAAGCAATAATTATTCATCAAGTTTATCCAGTGAGTATATTCTCTGTGCTGTACTGAACAGCATTTTAAGAAGTGTTCGTTTATAGCTAGATGGAAATAATCTGTTAAAATTAAGGCAAATGACACTTCATATGCCTTCATGGTTAATACATATCTAAAGTATACCATTAGTTCTATGTTGAATGTTAACGCCTCGAGGGTTGGATTTTTCATTCTTTTCATGTTTTAATATCTTCATGTGTACCACTAAAAATTTCAAGTAGATATGATTCATGGTGTGAATTCTTACATAAAATGAATGTGCCGTTGAAATATCTAGAGTAGGGTGCGATTTCACTAGTTACACATTTGAGTCTTCTAAGCTAACAATTAGCCATAAAAATACCTAATATAGTAACTTCCCATTTGTGATGCCATATCATTCAATCTACTTAAATAGAACATAAGTAGTCTAATTGTGTGGTATATATATATATATATATATATATATATATATATATATATATATATATGCAATGCAAGCGTACACAATAATTCTCATTTGTGCACGAGTGTATGCATGCATACTAAACTCCTATAGGAAAAATCAAGAGGATTACTAGATTTTACAGAAAAGACTGAAGCAGAATTAAGCGTCATTATCATCTCCATCTTCAAGGTCAACAATGATTTAAGGTTACATTGTTCAAAGTTCAATACATTCTTCCATTTGCTAGTATTATTAATGTTGATGATCATAATGACAAGTTGTGTTAATAATGAAGCCTTGAGAAAAAAAGAAAAGGAAACCAGCAATCGTCTTTACACATGTACATGAACTACATGAATACAAGCAGATAAATCAGTGAAAATAGAGCCAGAAGTGTATAGAAAAGAGGATGTAATTAATATAAACTAAACAATATTATACCATTTACCAGGGAATCATTCAAATCTTTTTGCTCGCCTATTTTTCAACAAAAGGAGAAGATAAAACCTTATGGTTAAAAGATGCATTCCACTCTGTGAAAAGTATAATGACAACAAAAACAACAATGAATAAAATCACATTAATAATCTTCTTGTTATTTCTGTTGTACATGCCGCATTGTTAATACAAATCTCTACATGTCCCTTAGTTTGTAACGTTAGAACTACTAGTACTACTGTTGTTTATAACTGTTGATAGAAGACGTTTTCTTGCATATATATATGTTTATGCAAAGTTGGAGAAGTATTTATTATGTTTGTGTTTACAACTTATAAATCCCATGCTGAAATGACACTTATAAGTAAAATTATTATCATTATTATTGTTATTTGTCCCTTGAATTCCTAGTGGAACATACAGCTTCAGTAGCACATCGCCATGACACTCTGTCCTCTGCAGTCATATTAACATGGCCCCATGACTGCCAACAACCTCTCTTTTCTTCCCACACCACCTCCTCCATGACGTCACCCTCACACACCCAACTCGTCCTTTCCCATTTGGCTCCCACTCAACGACCTGGTCTGACACGTGATGTCCTCAGTCGGTCTTCTCAGTGTATGCCCAATCGAATCGAATCGAATCGAATCCGATCCATCTCCACTTCCTTCTGCATATTTGTTGGGCGATGGGTTCTTGCTTCGTTGGTTCGTTACCAGCTAGCCAGCCAGCCAGCCAGACTGAGTTCCTTGATGCTTATTCTTATTATTCTGGTCATCTGATCTCATCTCATCTCATCTCCAGTGTCAGTATCGAGTGAGTGTAGGTGGCAGGTGTTGAAGATGTATGTGTGTAGTTTGTTGGAAATGCTTTCAGTAACGCGTCACCAGTCTGTGAACCATCATCAGATGGAAGCACTGACTTGACTGACTTCGTGTTGCAGATCCGGATCTTGTTCACGCTTTATGCTGAGTGCGGTGCAGTAGATCTCTACACAGATTTCAGAATAATGTAGACCTGTCTTGCTGTCTTTCTGATCCTGGCTTTGGCACTCCCATCTGTGCCACTGCTGCCACCGCCTGTGATTGAAACGATGCTGCCTTGTCTAGGTAGGTGAAAGAGGCCACTTCCTTTAGGTTTCTCACGTTGATGGTGGTTGGAGCTTCTTGTTAGTTGGGTATCTCCATCACCTCTGTCTTCTCTACGTTCACCTGAAGTAACTTCTTCTTTCGCTGCCTATCCTCGTCTGTTCTACCAACTTGTTGATTTTCGTCTGTAGATCTTCGAGTTTGTGCAACAAGACATCAGGCATAAATCATCATCGTTGGCGAAATCCAAATCTTCTAGCACCTTTCCATCAGTCCAGCCAGCGTATGTCCATCTTCTCATAGCTCCTCACGGTTTGCTGCATGATTAAATACACTTGGTCACAATCAGGAAGATGATCGGTGATAGTAGGTGGCAGCCTTGTCTTACTCCTATCTTCACTTCAAAGGCATAAGTGAGCTTTCCACTGTGAATCACTTGCCATGTAGCGTCTTCATATAGTTGTTGAATGAGGTTGATAAAGGTTTGTGGTACTAAAACCGTAGTGCTGAAGCAGCTGCCCGTCAAATTACTTCCCAGTCGACGCTGTCGAAGGCTTTTCAAAATCGACAGCTACTTCAAATCAACCAGCGTTTGTTGACTGTCATCTGGCTATCAAAATCAGTAGGTGAACATGAGAAGTGCTTTTCAACTAGTCATTCAATTCACTAGTATATTTTTGATTAACTCAGGACACTTGTGACTACTACTGTATGCTTTCTAAAAGAAAATTTGTTCATATAACAGTTAGTTCGATAGAAAAATTACTCAACTAAAGAAAACAAAATTCCTTTTCGATAACATTACTATGATGTTTAAGAGTATAATAAACAGCTTTTTCTGAAGATAGATCAAAAATCGCTACAACAGTCATGAGTACACTCGACATCTTTAAACACCAAATCCAGGTTTAACTTAGCGGATTACTAAAGATTCGGCTATGTATCGATAAAAAAATCGAAGTCTTCTGAAATTGTAGGCAAACAGCATCCAAAAAACTAAAAGAATTACTCCGAATGACGGATATTTGAAAAAAAAACTATAGCCAGTACTAGTACTACTACTACTACTACTACTACTACTAATAATAATAATAATACTTATACTATTCTGCTACTACTACTAGTGGTAGTAGTAGTAGTAGTAGTAGTAGTAGTGGTAGTAGTAGTAGTAGTGGTAGTAGTAGTAGTAGTAGTAGTAGTAGTAGTAGTAGTAGTGGTAGTAGTAGTAGTAGTAGTGGTAGTAGTAGTAGTAGTAGTAGTAGTAGTAGTAGTAGTAGTGGTAGTAGTAGTAGTAGTAGTAGTAGTAGTAGTAGTGGTAGTAGTAGTAGTAGTGGTAGTAGTAGTAGTAGTAGTAGTAGTAGTAGTAGTAGTAGTAGTGGTAGTAGTAGTAGTAGTAGTAGTAGTAGTAGTAGTAGTAGTAGTAGTAGTAGTAGTAGTAGTAGTAGTAGTCACACTACCACCTGCACTACTACTATTAACACTGCTACAATTATTCTTATTATTTTTTATCACAATATTGCAGAAGGTCATAAGGTTGCACTTCACCTGATGTACTTCAGAGATTTTAAGAAGTTATATTTTGGGAATTAGTCCTATCCTAAAGCTTCTGTAAACTGCCATCTCTTCTGCATTGTATTTGCTTTCACGGTATTTAACTCTTTTTTACGTGACATCTGCTAATTGATTGTCTTTTACTGATAGCTATAAGTACAAAAAATACTAATCATCTTATTCTCCTTCTTTTGTAGTCATTATTCCATGCTATTTTAGTTAAAGAGGGGGATTATTTTTGTAGATATTTGATATAATTATTTTTTGAGCAACACCTAGTATCACGTTACTTTTTCACAACTAACTGATCATAAGCTAGTTCATTATTCCTCCACTTTAAAGTTTATGCCTTCCTTATCAACTAACTCACAATAGAAGGATTTTGGCTGAGGAGCATTGTGATACCCGATGTAACGGTAATCGAGGAAAAATATTTGCATGTAACGTAACACTGCTTGCAAGATAGTCCAAGACCGTATTTATTTTAAGGATATTGTTTAAGTACTTAATAACGTATCAGTAGCATGATTAAAATGCTCGTTTTAATTCAATCCTATGTAATTGTGGTCTGTTACCGAATAACCAATTGGATTGTTTAAAAGGTTTCATCAGTTCACAATATTATTTGCAAAGAATTAGGTTCATAGGTTTTTCAGCAGGATGTCATAGATCTCTTTCAGGGGCTATATTTGAGAATATAGTTCACATCACTCATATGAATTTTGAAGTCTACACTCGACTTAAACTTTGGTTGGCTTTATTTAGCAAGTCTCTTAGATTTTCGCATCAATCTAGTTGAAGGGAGTATTTGTCCCATCAGAAAAGGGTTATGTCAGCATTTTATAGTTCGAATCAAACCTAAAGTCGATTGGGATACTAGAAAATCTGATGTGACACTGAATTTCATCGTTGGTTAAGTTTGCTAAAGGGGAAGGACAACTCCTGTTTATCCATATGTTGATACATTTGTATTGATTTGGTAGTCCTTTTCAGTGTCTTTCTTATACCTGCTTACCTGTTAATTTTTATCTGGTCGATTCCTTTGGATTCATTAGGTTTCGACGACAAATCTGGTTTTATAACAACTTCTTGACTTAGCAGACAGAAAAGAAGCTCTACAGTAACCAGTAGAAATTTGCTGGCTATCTGCTGACCTTTATACCATTGTGTTTGAGAGTGCTTGAAGACCTTCACAGGTATTGCAGGTCAACCACCGTTTTATTTCTCGGCACTAAGAGTGACTTCGCTTCAATGAACAAAGTTATACCTAGGAACTGTCTTTTTGAAACGAGTATCCCTGGGAAGTTTTTGATGTGCTGTAAGCCCTATACTTCAACACTTCATTGGAGTGAATGTATCGCCTATCTTCACTTTTCAAACCTTTAGTGGGGTTAGGCAGGGTTGCTCGGTTGCGCCATTCTCGTCTAACTGTGTCATCGATGATATTTTTGAGATAACCATGAAGGAAAAGGTAGGCTGATGTTAGTATGAACCTGTCATCAGGTAAAATATTTCTACTTATAGTATGGTGTGGCTGGATGAGTGCTGGTGGAGGTGTGATTGGTGAGCTTTCCAATTATATATCGAAAGCCATAATAGCATAATTCATTTCCGACCACCTTTGACACAATCATAGTGTTGACTTTGTTATAAAGAGTCGGGTATACAGTGTGTTGTTGTGGGTACTTTCGCTCTACACCTGAGGAATCTGACCTCTCTGAGCTGAGGATTTTGAGTAACTACATTTTCGACCACAGCTATTTTTGTAGGATCGCTTACATCCCGTGGAAACAACATTTAGATAATTCTGATGTGATGCGGTGTGCGTTTTTGTGTAATTGAGATCATTCATTAAGTGAGGTCATCCTGGTACATCGACTTGTGTATGTGCTATGCACATAGTCCCAGCGGTTCTTGTAACGCTTACTGTTCTTTTGCTGTGAGACTGGTTGGAAGAAGCGAAGAAATGGATACTGTATGACATGGTGCCATAGGATGAAAGATATTTGTTTTGGATTACCCTCTGTAAGTATCTCACGACTCTCCGGATGGGGTCCAGAAGATCACACAACTCGGCGACTTGAGACAATACCAGATGTGGCGGTGGTGGTCGTGCTATGTCGTGAACTGACAGAAGTTGGAAATATGGACTACTGGATTCTACCTCAGTGGTTTAATGGCAATGTGTTGACTATGGAGCCTCAGAATCGAAACCGGTGGTTATCATGTTTCTTCTATTACTGAAAAATAAAACGAGAATAGTATGTGTTTCTTTGGCTATGTCACTGAAACACCGCTGATGAACTCGGCCCCCAGAGGAGCGAAACAGCCATTCAGTGTTTAAATCACCTTCATCTGACTAGTGAGAACTGCTTGCTAATATAAGTTGCTTAAAACTACTCATATCAGTCAGTAGTATACTACATGTAGCCTCACGCTGGTTATCTTAACACCGATTGCGTTATCTACCAGATCACATTATACGGTCTGAATATTTTAGTTTCCATGTGAAACCGTGGTGCTTCTTCTCACCACAGAGTATGAATTTTCACAAACACTTAATTTGATATGACAGTTCTCCAACTACGCATTTTTGTTTTCATCCTCTCTTCCGTTTTCTATATCTTCATAATGTTATTCTGTTATTTTGCATAGCGCTTCGATCGGTGCCTATGTTGCGGTCTGATAATAGTAATAATAATAATACAGTGAAATATACAGTTGGAGAGTGTTATTTAGAAGACCCTTTTAATTAACTTAATACGAAACGAATGCAGATTAGTTGATCAGACGAATGATCTAGTATGGCTGAATAAGAATCACTCAGCTAGCTGGTAAGACTCAATTCTTTCATTCATAGTGACAGCCGTCTTGAAAACTCGAAAGGCGGTGAATTAGGCTCCCTAAATACTTGAAGTGTATAGGTTTTCGTATATTGAACTATTGTGACCATTTCACTTCTACGAAACAGATAAAAGCTGTTATATTAACAATGAAAGGAGGACAAATACTCAAAAATGATATTGGGTGGTGGTCGTACTATGTCGTGAACTGACAGAAGTTGGAAATATGGACTACTGGATTCTACCTTAGTGGTTTAATGGCAATGTGTTGACTATGGAGCCTAAAAAAATTGCTGGGTTCGATCTTGGGGTGGGGGTGGGGGGGCCTGGGCGGAGTCATGGGTGCACACTGCCAAGGAGTCCTATACTAGGACGAAATAGCTGTCCAGTTCTCCCAGATTTCCAGTGTTCCTCTAAGTGATGTCAGTCCATGATAAATGTCAATTTGAAAAATCACTACATCCTCACAAACCACCAAACTAAATTGGAGTGAAATTGAGATACAAGGCTAGACTGCTGACCAGATTTTTATTCCATTTCAACCATCAAGCGTTTTACCCGAATACTATATGAATTCGTGACACGTTACTACCGCTTGATCGTGTTCACATTGGCTGTCTAGTCAGGGCATCTCATCCTAATTCGAGTCTAACTGGATTCAGAGAGGGGGAGTATCATATTGATTATCATTTCGACTATCTAAGATAGATATGATTTGGTAGACTAGTATCAAAACTAATTTTTTAAACCATAGCTATCTCAGATAGTCAAAATGATAATTGATATGTTGCTCTACCCCCATCTAATTCCCTTAGATTTGAATTTGGATGAGAAGTTTTGACTAGGCAGCAGCCAGTGTGAGTACGATCAATCGATAGTAAAACATCATGAATTCACATGGTAATCGGGAAAAAACTCTTGATGACTGAAATGAAATAAAAATCTGGTCAGCAGTCGGACCTCGTATCTCAGTTGGTAGAGTATCACGCCGGAAACCTGGTGGTCGCTGGTTTGAATCCAAATACGGTCCAAATTTTCATTTCACCTTCAGTTATCATTCAGTATCAATACTAGTCTGCCAAATCACAGCTCTCTCAGATAATCAAAATTATGAAGAAGTGAAACTGTTTTCACTACATCCTTCATGAAGGAATTCAAAAGTGATTATCAAAGTAGTTCACTGGGGTTTTTCGACTGAAAAGAATGGAAATAACTCAAGGTATTTCGCTAACCAAAGGGTTTATAAGAAATGTTGAGAATTCTCTTTCTTAAAGATGAAGAAATTGGATAGAAATAACTAAAGTTTAATTAATAAGTGTAACTATGTAAAACTGACCTGTGTTTAATTACTAGACAAACAAAGTTTTTGGAGATTTGCTTTTCTTAATGATAACTTTTAGAAGAGAACCGCTTCATCAGTTCAGTCAGTTCATAGATCTCATTATTGAACTCACTGACCCCTCTTATACTTCAACAACTGACTAATCATCGAAATTGGGTATTTGATTTATTCTCAAGAAATTTATGTATCCCTCTTCTCTCCAAACCTTTAGATTTCTATATTCGACTGTCTGATTTTGAATTCGCCACTTCAACAAAATGGGTTCAATTTAAGAACCTGATTCAGATAAATATGGCAACCTATAGAGGACATAATGGATTGACAGTAACGATGGAATCCTATTTTGAACTCGTCAACTGAATGTACCTGCACCTCAGTGAACGATATTGTTCCCGTTTAGACTTGATCCTAGGAATGATCACCTTAAATACCACAGGGTTATCTACTATCCATCTTTATTATGAAGTTGAAACTATAGGTGATATTGAGGCATCCAGACAAGAACCCAATAGAAATGGATCAATTCGGTCCAGTCTCTATTTTTCTTAAAAACTAGGGGTTGCATTTGAAATCATATAAACTGAGACGTTCGACTGAAGAAAAATGAAGCTTTATGGTCACGAAGTTATATCACTGTTTCTAGCTTGTATGCTATTGAAGAGAAGGCAATGAAATGCCATAAACTTATGATAATCTTCAGAGTTTATTCTTCTTACTTCCAAATTATGACTTTAAATTATTCATACTTTAAATATTTGTTACTGTAGTACAACTGTTATTTTTCTCTCTCTCTA